AATTACAATTAAATTAGTCAAATAATTAGGTAATCTTTATTATTTTAACATAATTTAGTACAGTTTAATGCTTACTTACTATTTCATAAACTTTCAAATTATATTAACAGTCTTTTGTTTTCATATAATAGTGATAATAATAATTTAACATAAAAAATAACAATATAAAGTAAAAATTATAAACAAAATAACAAACTAACAGCATTTTTAGTTTTAAAATATATCACATAAATTAATGTATTAATAAGTAGGTAACATAGTGCCTAAACTGATTAATTTTCATCGACATTTATGTATCCAGGAAATGTGTATATCGTTTTCTGTTCTTCTTATTCTTAGTTGATATTGGTAATATTGCAAGAATCATCTCTACTGTAATATCTGACAAGTTATTTTCAACAATATAAAAATCAGTTACAATTTCATTATTTTTTTTTAATCCTCGTACTAAAATATCCCCATCATCTTCATCTACACGTTTAACTAAACATACCTACTTAAAATGTTGTTTCTTACGGTTCCCACCAATAAAATCTATTAAAATAAATACTCCAGGTTTTATTTGAGACCAAATTGGTGTATTGTATAAAACTTCTTCAATACTTAAATCTAATGAATTGTCATTACAATCATCTTCTGATGAATGATAAACTACATCATCAATATAATCAATTGATTGTTCCAACACAATATTTTGTGCATCTTTAATAGCTTTCTTAGGTCTTCCAAGTTTACTAGGACATTTGATTAGCTTTTTCTTTGAGATTGCTTCCTCCAATTATTTTAACATATTTTTATTTGTTAAAACTTCACCATACTTTGTTACTCTAAGACGAGGAATCCAGTCTTTTGTAACAAAAATTGTATTGTTAGTTTTATATTGTATTAATTGAATTGCAAAAATAGATATTATATCTTTTGGGCTTACTGAGATATTATTACTTGATGTTGGAAAAGTTTAGTCCATAAAAGTGTTTGACGTTAAAGGTTCTAATGAAATTTGATTTTCTACAACTGTTAATATGTTTTTTTGATATAATTACGCACTCTGAAGTTGAAAAAAAAATGATAAAGATCGTAATATTTCAAATTATATTTTTTATTAATATTTACCCCAAAACCAAATTTCCATTTACCCCAATTGATTTTTATTTTGTATTTTACAAAAAATATATAATTCCATAGAAAAAGTGATATTAAACTAGTTTTAGGGCCGTATAGTAAATAAGTAAATACGAAATGACAATTTAGTTCAAACTGTACTGTTCTACTTATATTTTTGACGAAGATGCCCTTCTCAAAAGCCGTTGAGCAGAAAATATAATCTAAAATAATCATAAACACTTTTTCGAGTGATGACAATTTGTACATATCCTCAAATTTTCCATACTTTTATCATTGTACACTATTATACCTTATGTGTACTGTGGTTACAATGATATCGAGTTCTATAATCACTAATCATTTATTTTAAATAATATTTTTTTCCTCTTGCCCCAATTTCCATTTACCTCACTTGACCCTAATAAATATTTATTTAGTTTTTTGTCATCGTGAAATGACCATTAAAAGTAAATTAGGTTATTATTTGTTGTTAATGATTTGCCTTTACACCAATAAAGATTAGACAATTATGTTTTATCTAAACCGTTAGTAAATAATACTATTTTATAGTTCAAAATTAAGTGTAATTTTATTGAAAGCTTTAAATACTGACAAAAGTTTGAAAATAGCTGAAGAGCGTATAAAAGAGTATAAGAGTTCTGATTTAGTTAAAGTGGTTTTCAAAAAAAAAAAAAAAATTAAAATAAAACCACTTATTGTAGAAACTTTTATCAAAAATCAATAAGTTTTAAAGGTTAATCCGTATTATTACAAGTTACAGGATTTCACTAACTTAATTAAGTTTATAAAGTAATACTTTTACTCAACAAGTTGTACATGGATATGCATTATTTGCTTTTCAATACATGTATATAACTTCTACTAAAACACAACCACAATTTGTAAAAGCTTTTTCATAACCCACATATTTTTCTATTTTTGGTTTCAACAAACTTTCAAGGAGATTTAACGCAATCATACACATGTGCAACCACATGACGATTAACCCTGAAAACCTCAATCGTAAGGTAGCTATGCTATTGACACTTATTGTGTGGGATTACAAGTTATCATTGTTTTAACAACATAATCCATACAATATCAGAAAACTAGGTCCTGTAAGCTACTTTAAGAATAGAAAAGTTTATACGGAGGTTGTCTAATAACTTAGAGCTATGTTTCGTTTTTTTCTTGTTGGAGTTCGTTAACAATTTTCAGAACACCTCTCGGTAAAAATGGGAATAATCAAGTTAGAAAGACAACCGATCTCGTTTTATTTGTATATAAAACTTTTGAACTTAATCTCAATAATGAATGAAATATATTTATTCGTACTAATAGAGGCATATTAATAAAAACGTCCGTTTTTCGGTCATTATCATGAAGGTCGGATGGTAGACCCTAAACATTAAATATGGTAAAATTTATTTGATTTGTTTCGGTGTAGAATTTTAGGTTATTAATTTACAAGAGGACTCGTACGGACTTGAACGGTAAAATCGTTTTGTACGCAAAATGTTTTATATGACTTGTCCTTTGTAACATATTATTATATTGTATCGTTTTTGCAAATTCAATAGACAGATGCAGACCTCTATTAAATTAAACACTATTATTATTATTCGGATCGGGGAGACGGTGACTCGTCAGGACCTCGTTAAAAAAAAATAACATCAAAAACGATTTGATCTCAGACTTGTAACAATATACAAATGAGCGAGTGCATCGCCTTTTGGGCTGTTGCGTTCCGCTCTGGGCGCTGTAACACAGTCCTACTGTAACTGTTTAAAGCCGAATTCGTCTACAATGATCGGATGGGCTCTTGGCGCACACTCGCACACATATACGCAAAACGGCAAACAATAAAAGTGACAAATTTATGAGTCGCTCGGACCCCTTTCCGCACGGCGGCAACGACCGACTCCATCGAAACTTCTTCCTTTGTCTCCTCACATTCCTGGCCAATAAATTACACCGCTCTTTTTCTCGTCATCTACCCCCTTATTCTCTGTCCTCCACCTCCCCACCAGGGTGTTATCGAAACCCTAACTATACGCACCGTCTACGACACCGGCTCTGCCTGCCTGCCTGCCCGCGCGTATAGGGTTTCTGCACGACACAATTTTTTGGTAATTATCATATTGGATTGGCCGGCATTCACTGTGCGTAACTTACCCTGAGCCCGGTGCCCTCGTAATTCATAAATTTACGACCCGGCCGTCATACGCTGCCAACTCCGAGATTTATGTCCATCGACAACGAGTCGCGACGTTTCTTCCCATCGTGAGCATCTACACTCAGTCATCGTTACCCCAGCCGAGTGGCGGCGGATGCTCTTTCTCATTTGTACGTAGAATAAAAAAAATAATGTAACACAAATGGCATAACGACTTCCGATTGATTATCGTTGTTGTCTGCCAACAGCTTTGCTACAAAGGTACGGTGAACTGGTACGTGCGACCTAATGGTTTTGCGCCTTACGTGATGACATAAATCATTTCCAGTGTTGCACCTCTTTTATGGGCAGTATAAAATCCTAACGACCATCGATGTCACTACAAATATCACTTAGTCTATACATTTTGTTGAATGATGTGCGAGCAATACGACGTAGGTAGTATAAAATACTTAAAAATTTGTATTAAAATATCTCACAAATTTAAGATCGGATAGAGTTAAATGAGATCGTGCGTTTAGAATTTAGTATTATCACTTCCTATAAAATAGATATCCATAAAAGTTTTATTGAAAATGTATTTAGATAGATTTGAGTTTTAAGGGTCGTCAAGTGTCCAGAAATTATTTATACTTCCCGAGCTAATTTTCATTACCAGTTATAATAATAATATAAATTTGATGAAATTTAAGAGAAAAACGCGATGAAAATAGAAATGAGTTAAAATTAAAGGGCGGGTTTCAAATAAAAGAAACTGTGTTTTAATTTGTCTCATCTTGTTTCTTGTCCCCAATTATACAGATACTGAATAACTTCAATTTCAAGAAATTATGAATCCCAATCCTGCACATTAAAATTCATTACATGTGATATGCATCTCTACCAAAAAACCAAAATTTAAGTTTTAAATATTAATTCAAATTAATAAACCGTATTCACTGTGATGCTGTGAAATCTATTAAAAAGTAGGTCATTAAGTAAATAATACTTAAGTGACTGATTTTATTCTTGAAAAATTAACTTTCTTCATAACATAGGTATTTTTTTAACCTTCCCATAGTATAGGTATATTTCTTAATTATTTTCATTATTATTTCCACGCCAGAAATGATAAATAATAAGCGAATAATACATGAATCCTATTACATAAATTAACGACCGTTAACTTAAGTCGTATCGGACAAAAGTATAATGTAATTAATAACAGCGTAACGTAAACTGAACTGCAGATGTGTCACACAATATGGCCGATATGAAATTAAATTTTATTGTACCCAAATCCTAACCCCTTGTACGTGTTCTAGTTTATTGATATTTATATACATTTTTAATAAAGGGAAAATAATATTCAGATGTTTATAAATCAAAATTATCGCACTGCCGGAATCGTAAAAGATATTCGGAGCTTACTCATTTTTATTATTATAGCCAAGCTTTTTTGCCCGTTCTCTAATTTCATTATTAATTTTTTTACGTCGGGCTCATACTTTGTAGCGAACACAATTTGATTAAAACAATAAATTAACCATTGAAAAAGAATAATACATTATTCTTTTCGTTTCCATGTGTAACATCAGAAACGTTTAAACGCGTACCGTCTCCTAAACAAATGTGTTAACGGATTTAATAATTTAAATGAAATTAACAGAGCAACGATTTTTATCAATTTATCATATTTAGCGCGTGAAACTTTACTTTGTGTTCAAACTTTCAGAAATGATTCAATGTGGCCACGTTGTTAATGTTTCCATAGTAACATACTGTTGTTTACTGATAACGCACTTGATTATACGTACAAAAAATGTCTAGTTCTGATTTACTATATAACGTGGATTCGGCATTTGAATCAAGTTTACAAAGCAATCCTTTGCCCAACACACTGGAAATGAAATCAAAATCAGGACCTCTTGATGGATTCCGCAACTACAAGCCGTTCGAAATACGTGATGGTGTTCGTAAGTCGTAAGCGTTCGCTTTCAATAATTATCAGTATGGGTGTTTAGATAAAAAATACTTTATATCCTTAAATATGTTACCGACGAGTAAAGACTAATTTTTGAATTTTCGACACTATATTTTAAAAATACAACTTCCTTAAAGAACTTAATGCGTATACTAATGTGCCATGAAAATGTAATATATTAGATTATAACATATAAAAATTAATTTGTTAAGTTTTAATTGTCAGGTATTGGACGTCTGTGGCTGAGATTATACGACCATCAATGGGGACTGGATTACTCTGTTTATCATATGCATTTCAAAAGTTGGATCTTATCAATGCAATTGTACTCTGTCTACTTTTTGGAATCGTTCTTCAATATTCATACGGTGTTTTGGTAAAATACTTCAGGTTTATTAGTCGGTAAACAATATCAAACTACATTTACATATTATATAATTTACGATCACTGAACAGATATAGAAAGACAAGATTACTCCGACCATGACCATTTGATTTAATTGGCTTAAAGTAATCTCGAAAGAGACACTTAGTATTACTTTATATGTCTTTAGTCAAAGTCAAAAGTATGAAGCCAATTGATATTGCTTGTTAAATACATACAGCGCATCAATAGTGTAGCTTTGCAGTGGGGGCGTTAATAAAAAAATCTACAAAATTACATATTTTCCACCTTTTTGTTTTTGCTTATCACATTTTAGAGATGAATATTGCAGTCAAAGGAGGCACAGGCTCTTTTTGGCTTCCTTGGCTATGCCGCTACAGTGCATTAAAAAATTAATTCTACTTTATCAAATATTGTATGTATATCCTTTATTCAAAAATATTAGTTAGCATTTGAGATTTTTATACTTAAATTTAATAACTATAAATATATCAATAATGACTGATAATTATTAAATCAATTCAATTGAATTATTAATTTCAATAATGAAAATTTCAATTTCTATTTCCATTTTTGATATATTTAATATTATTTTATTACATCCTTAAAAATTGTAATTAATGAAAACTATATTTATCGAAGTGTCGTGGGAGATATAGAATGTGTCAAGTAAATAGAGTGCCTTACTTATGTTTCCATGATTTAGTTGAGTTTGGCATTAATTTAGGCCCAGAATACGTATATGGATTTAGTAACATTTTCAGGTACTATAAATAATTTATCAAGTTATATATGTGTCATATGTCAATTATAACCATGTTCTTATTTCTAGACGAATATCTGTAATAATGTTTTTCACTTTCAATCTTGGGAAAAGTTGTCTCTATACCAAATACGTTTGAATAGTTTTACATAACGTAAGCGCGACTTAATATAATATTACATAAATTAATTGGACATTATAAAGTTTAAAAGAATAGTATATTCATTTTATATTATTGTTAGTAAATCTATATGTCTAAATAATAAAACCATTGAAATTGCTCATTAATTTGCTTATGTTTTTGGTTTACTACTCCTTGAAAATATGCGCCATGTACTTTTAATGATAGTTCAAATATTGAAACAATACTTATTTAAGTCCAATTTTGTTTTCTTAGCACTTAGTCGACACTGAAGCATGTATCATTTATATGATATTTTGTTTTTTATTCGTGGCAATTCCAACGGCCAATTATATGCATTACATCCGAAGATTCATTGAATTTATGTGTGTATTTTTAATGGCAACATATGTAGTATACATTTTGTTATTTTTTAAAGCGGATGTAGATGAAGTAACGTTAGTTAATGGAGATTGGGTAGATATTTTTCAAGGCCTAGTTGTAATATTGTTCGCGTATACATCATTGCCTAAAGTAAGTTTAAATAAAAAATTAAAATCCAATAAAAACATTTAATAAAATGTTTTTATTGACTTTTAATTTTTAATCGTTCCAAGCTACATTTAAACAAAATTTTTATTTTTTAAACGGTGTTTAGATTTTGAAAGCTGAAAATGAACTTAAAACTCCAGAGCTGTTCTCGAATCCCAAAGTTCTCAACGTATTAAAAGTTTCCATATTCACAATTACTAATATGTTCATTGTAATCGGTGCCTGTGGTTACTTGGCTTTTTTCAAAACGTCAAAGCTCAGTTTTTGTCTGTTGACCGCTTTACCGGAACATGGGTATTTTATATTTTTTTTTATTTGAATATGTCAAACAAGTGTCTTCTTTTTTTAATTAAGCAACTTAGTAAGATAGCAGTACCTTTATAAAACGGGAAATCAAATGATTACAGGTTCCTCAAGTACTTCATGGCCATGTACTCATTTTACATAGCTTGTATGCATCAAGATGTCTTACATGAATCAATTTTATTGTTTTGGACACCACCTCCGAAATGTTAAAGAAATATGGCCGATGAACTTTATTGGCTATTTAAATTGCACGTGGGAATGATCTGCGTGTCTGGTTAGTTGTATACATGTCATTGATGATTGTATAATTTTTTTAAACAAATTCAATTTGGGGGCGTCATTTGAATCGTTTTTTATTGTTACGTAAAGATCCACAAGTGGTCTATGCGATATCAAGTGAGGTGATGCAAAGGGTTCTTGCAAAACAAATTATTTAACGTACCAAAAATGTTTAAACAGAAGTTTATAAAGCTTTTTGCGATCATTTTTGGTTACTTTTTAGTATGCAAGTGTACAACTTGTGTACCACAAATGACGCCCCTGTCTAAAAAATCTTCATGCAACGTCATATAACTACGTTAGTATGACGTCTATAGTAAAGATGTCAATGGTGTAAACACGACCTAGTCTTCAAAGTGTAGTTAACATGATCGTTAACTAACCNAGTCTTCAAAGTGTAGTTAACATGATTGTTAACTAACCACAAATGCGTAGGAAAACCTCCTCTTTCTGTAAAATCTTATTGACTTAAAAGTTATTGTAACGTTACTATTACGATAACAACATATTTCAAAGAATAAATATAAACTAACATGACCTCTAAAAAGATGAAAATCAAACATGTTTTGTGGTTTTTACCTTTTTACAATAATATCTGTTTTAAAAAATGATATTCTTCTTATGTTACGTTCAACAGTATTAGGTTCTTGGTTAATGGACAAATGTCTGGGACAAATGATGGCATTGTTAGGTTGCATGAGTATTTGGAACTTTATGGTTTTTCCATATTTGGTCGAATTTTGCATAGTACACGGGATTGACGGAATAGCCACGAAAAAAATTATAATTTTCAAAGATGTACTTATGATGGTCTTGGGAGTTTCAATTTTCGGTGCTGGAATGGTAGCCGCTATAATTAACTTTAGTTATTGTGAATAATGTTACTAGTATAACTGTTAATAGTATATAACTGTTTACATAATATTTAGTTATTGAATTATATATATATATTGTACAATTGTATTATAACTAGGTCTATTCATATTCTAAAACTATTTAATGAATATTTGAATTTGTTGCAGTATATATTATGTATATGTTCAATACAATTCTTTGATAATTATGTAAAACGAGTCTTTATTTTTAATATAATACATTTAAAATCAAATAAAATGTAGTGATGTAGTCCAGGTGCTTGCTTGACCATTTCATTTTACCTGGAACAACTCTTACGATTTTTATTCACAGAAACATTAATGATTTTTTTTGTTAAAACTGGAGGAACTTAACCTAAATTTTAGAAATTATACACACAAATTCATGATATGTTATGCATATTTATTTGTTATAAATTGTCGGCCCGATTACGCATTTCAAAGCGGCCCAGGAGGCATTTGCCCTCGCGATCAGTCCGTTCCCGTTTAGACCAAAGAACTGTCAAAATCTACCCACGAGTCGTTGTTTGGAAGTATAATCGAGTAGGAATAATTTTCCACAATATCATGTACTAATTTTGCTATGAATTCTTAAAATGTAATCGTAAATAAATTTCATGGAATGGAATGGCAAAAATAGTCATTTGCCAACTGCTCAATAAATTCCTTTATCTCTGATTAACTGGCGTCTTCTTGAGAATATTATAATAAACATAATAAAATTACAATAATTTAAGGTTACATAAAAATTTGTTTGTTAATAAAAAAACGATGGCATTCGTCGGAGAGAGGTTTTTATTTTTTTCTCGTCCATATACGTTTATTTATGATGTCTCACTGTCATGTCGTTTCTTGTTAAACACCATTTTTTATACGTGTATAATGAAAGTTTATTCATTGGATTCCGAATTTACTTCGGTTTTACGGTCTTCTATTCCGTTGACTTCGGTTTGCACTTAGTCCGGCCGAACATAAAAATGCCACAGTCACTCCTCCGCCGTCGCCCAACAACCTATTAGGTCATATTATTATATGCGGCGGATCTACGAGTTATGGCAAGTGGGTATGTCACACGCTGTTTGTTCGTTATTTTTTTCACACAAAAGAATATTCTCTAGCTGTATTTTTTGAACCAAATAATCATCTTCTAAATTGTCTAGATTTTGGACTCGCATTTTATCAAATAAAATAAAGACTCTAAGGAATTTCGACGCTTCTTTTCTCATTTTTAGTAAGTGCATTGGTTATTTAATGACGTTGTGATTGCAATCAAAGTATCACTTTGTTAGTTGGTATTATTTATAATGCTACAAAAATTATGTTGTATCATTTTAGGGTAAAAAGAATTAATTGATAGCATTACTTGAGACAGGGCCGTATTTAAAATTTTAGCGTTAAGGAGTTAAAATATATATACATAAAATTTGGGGCCTCTATTTTTTCCCTATTTCGTCCTTTACAGCAAGTCGTGAATTGCCATTGTCTTGTAGTCATTTAAGTATAGTTTAGTCACTGGTTCACAATCATTCTAATGACGTTTACCTCTTACTGTACATATATTATAATAATTTTCATTAAACTCTTATTCAACATATTATTGTATAACACATCGCCACTTGACCGATAAGAATACGAATATAAATCATATTAAAAAAAAATTGATCAATTATTGTTAACCTCAAGGTAAAACTTTTCATTGTTGTGTTTGTTGTCATATACAATAACAATATTTCTGATGACAAATTATCAATATATGAAATAAACATTTTTTTTAATCGACCATATAAGATTCCGCTCTTTTACAATAAGATTCACCATTAAGAATTTCCGCGGGGCTAATGCTCCCCGTAAATGCAATTCTGATCTATAATAAGAAATGTTATATTTAGTTTTTAAATTCAGAGTACAGTAAATCACAATTCAATGGTTTACTTGGAGTACCTAAAAATAAAATGATAGTATGTAAATAGTCACATTAGGTATAACACATTTTTTATAAGATAGATAAAGTCAACTAAATATTTAAATTATAATATATATATATTTGTAACTTTTTTTTTTTAAATTTATTATTGCTACCATTTATTGCACAGTATGATCTCAATATTTTCATGACGACGTGAAAGATGGTATTTTCAACTTAAACGCTATTTTTATTTAAAAAAATAATTCTGTAATTATATATTAATTGCTAGATATAGAAATAACCGTTAATGTGTTTCCGCCCACGATAAGTTATAAAGTTGTAAGTAAATTGATAAGTTTGTTATATATTGCACAATGATTTGTTAATATGAGGAGTAATGGATAGGCAACTTAATCGACAAATCTTAAATTTACGCGACACATTTCTCAAAAAAAAAAAGAAGGTAAAACGCTACCAGGAATGTAGGAGGTGACACTATTTTCAGGACGTCCGCGATCACATTTATGAAAAATAGGCAGCAAGAGTAAAAATTGTAAATTGGTACCAGGGATTCATAAGTATGTGCTATTTCTAGAGCCGTTACAGGCGGGACGCGGCGTCACCAACAACAAATGTACAACTAGTAGATTGCTCTCATTTGTATTTAAGGAAATACTTAGTCTCTTCTACTCAATGATGGATGACACTCGGAGAATGAAAATTAAGATAAATAAAATAATTTGTTAAACACAAGTATGCATCCGATTTAAAAAAGGCACCTATTATAAAGAAATATATCTGATATAATTATTACTATTTAAATGTATCTATTATTTTTAAAATACACTTCAATGGCTGTTTCGGATGAATATTTAAGATTTTTTTACTGTGGGCAACACAACATCTTCTCCAAAACAAAACCGTTTATCTTGACATTATAAAAATATTTTTTATTAAGAATTAATATTTAAAAAAACCACACATATTTTATGCGTTTTTGGTGTGAAGAATTTATATTTTTCTTGAGATTATAGAGTATTAAAAAATCAATTTCCTGTTAGCTGTACAAAAATAATACATTATGTAATTCATTCTGGATAATTTTGAAAAATCGAGATAGCGGTTTTGCTATTGTAATGATGTAATGTTCACTCTCTTAAAAAATTCAGTTTAACAGATTTTAATTTATTGAAATCTTTTTTTTGAAAAAGTCATTAAATCTTAAGATATTACCTTTATAGTTTACTCCTAGTTTTCTTAAAACGCCATTGAGTTGTTTTGACTTTTGACAAATAAAACGTTAGGGTGAATCCATGCCAAATCATCCAGAAGTGGTTGCACGACCACGTCATTTTTTTTCTTAAATTTTCAGGGTTTATTCTTTTATGCTATAATTAGATTAAAACAATTTTTTTTTATGACTTCCCACTTTTATGGCTATTTTAATGTAAAAAAATAGCCAGAACGTTAAAAAACACACAGATTATTCAATATTGACTTAATAGAATTAAAATTTTAGACTTAACCTTATTATAATTTAGTTTACATAAAAAAAAATTATGTGAAATTCTAAGTCTTAATGATTTTTTAAAAATGGCGCTTTTGAATCACTTAAAATCATTAAATAGTAATTATTTTATATTGATTTTTAAATGTGGTATTGTATAGTGTATAATCAATATAAGTCAATATTGAATAATCTGTGTTTTAACGTTCTGGCTATTTTTAACATTGAAATAGCCATTTAAGTGGGAAGGTTATAAAAAAAAAAATATTTTAATCTAATTGTAGCATTAAGATTAAACCCTGAAAATTTAAGAAAAAAATGAGGTGGTCGTGCATCCACTTCTGGATGCTTTGGTATGGATTGGCTCGTTATAAAAAAATTTTAGATTTAAGCTTATTAATCATAAAGTATTATATAGCAAAAATAATTGGGTTTATAGTTCTCTGTATAATTTAGTCTCTAACAAATAAGTATTAAAAATAACTTCAAAAATGTATTCTTATTATAAAATGTCAGTCGAATAGGAAATTTAAGTAAATTAATTAAATAAAAAAAATTCAAATTTTATTGCAAACGCATAAAACTTTTTTGGCCAGGTATTATTAATGAAATACAAATTTAGGGGTTATTTCTTATATTTCAATAGTAAATAACCTAGTTAGTTAAAGAGTAATGAGGTTATACATTTTTTTGAAAACAAAATGATTATAATTGGATTAAGTGTATTTAATTAAGAGTATATTTATTTAATTACGAAGTGTTAAATATTCAATAAATTATTAAAATATTACACAAGTACAATAAAAAAATTGTGGTTACAATACAAGATATAAATTGGTTTAAAAAAAATAAAAACAAGTATAAAAATTTTATAATAAATTTATGAATTTAAAATATTTAAGTTAATAACAATAGAGGACAACAATATAATGACAGAATAATTTTCAAGTGTTTTGAAGTAACAATTGACAAAAAAATTAATAACTTAACAAAAAATAATTTTAGAAAAATCATTACATATTGCATATTTTGTTGAATTATTATACAATGAATGGTCAAGCATGGGATTTAATATTTCTTTAAGACATTAGAAATTTAAATTTTGATGAAAAATCTATGAATTATTTTAATGAATATTTTCTTTAGCCTTATTATATTTTTTTGAAGCAAACTTGACCGTTTTTGTTTGACAGTAAACAATAAATACTCACCCCGGATAAAATGCTCTTATGAATAAATACATTTTTCTTTAAAAAAACTCAATTAATTTAAATTATGTTTAAATAGACATTAAGTATTTTATTTAACATTAACATAGAATAATTATTTCAACAATAAATATTAAAAGCAACTCAATAAATTTTGATTACATTAAATAACAATAATAAATGCATAATATAAAATTTAATAAGTATATAAACTATCTACTCTAAAATAGCAATTTTAAACTTTATCTTCATAGCATAAAAATATTTTTATATTAATAACTCTTTTATCAGGCTTATAATTTATATACCTTGTATGCCAATTCCTAATTTATACTTTGTTCAGTAGAATTTAATAATTAAGTAATATTTATAAGCATTATAATACTTTGAGAATCAGAACAAGCATAGAAAAATATATAATCATATAATATGCAATGTTATGTAAATTTCAAGTAAAAATGTGAATGGTGTTAGCATCAAACACTTATTTTATTTTTATATATATAATGCATTATAGTTATATTTTCATCTTAACCAACAACCAGAGCTGTTAGACATTTCTTGTAGTCACCAGATGTATCATCCTGTAAAAAAAAAAAAAAAAATTATTGATAAATAAAAATAAAGAAGATTAGGATTATTCTATAAATAATCATTTAATAATTATTATACCAAATCATTATCATGCTTCATTTACTACTAAGCAAATATAATTTTCATTTTTTAATAGTCTTATTGTTAATTTGATATTAAAGCAATATATTTAAATTTTGTTTTAAAAGTATGAGACTTATTAACAATGTTAATCTATTTTTATATCATGCAAGTGAGTATAAATTATCATTTTTATTAACATTGCTATGTTACTAGTAATATTGATGCTATTATTAATGCAAAATGATTCAATTTTAATTAATTTTTAACTTGTTCTTGCTCTAAAGATGTCATATATTCAACTCCTATAGTTGAATCATATCAAATTAAATATAAATATCAAGTTAATACTACTACAGTCGTCAATACAAAAACATACTGATGACCATCATGTGGCTCTTGGTAAAATAACACTAGGGGTTGGTAAAATATTGAAAGTGATTGAACACAAATTTTATTCTTCTAAGAACCACCAAACCAATGTTACACAATGTCTTATAAAAGTTGTTGCTTAAAATTTCTCCTAGAGGTGTAACCATCACCAGTGTATTTTTATGTACACGATTGCAGTTTTTAATATACTACAGTTTTTATTAAATATTATTTTTAATTATATTATTCATAAGTGTATGGCATAAAACAATGCATTTATTAACTAATTGTTTAATCAGCATTCACAAGGCAGATAGCTCACTAATTTCCAGCGAAACTGTAACTTACCATAAATGTTTCAGACTGTAGTTTCATAAAAATAAAAAAAACAAAAGGATTTAAGTATTACTTTAGTTATAACTATATTTTTGTTATTATCTACTTTTTTTTTTTCACAAGACTCAATTATGGTAAAAATTAACATGATATTTATGAATTTAATTAATTTAATTATGACAACAAATTACGTTTCTAACTTTAAAAAATGAAAAAAAAAAAAATTACCGAAATGTCTGCTTCCAATGCTTTTCCATACATAGACATGTAAGAATTCTTAATGTCAACCATATCAATTTCACAACGAGTTGAAACAATTCTGATCAATGATCGATCATTAGTACCAAATCCAGCCATACTTTCATGTAAACGTTTCGCAAAGAATGAACCTTTATTTCTAACACATTGAACTAAAACACATAAATTACATTGTAAATAACTTTCAAAATGTAACTATATAGGGTGATTCATTAAGGATAAGACACTCATTTTCTCAATAACTATTGGAAGTTTTAAGTTTTTAGTAAGGAAAATATTGTTTAATTCAAAAAACTCTACAATATGTAGTAAAAACATAATTTTTTTCATCCCTTCAAGGTTAAAAAACATTAAATTGAATTTTCTTAAATGGAAACTCTTATTTTGAATTTATTATTATTATTTAAAATAAAAATACAAACAACTTTACTCTTATAATTTTTTTTTTCCGATCAACTGTTCGTCTGTTACAGCTAAAATAATAATAGAAATTTAGTCCAAAATCATTTAACTTTAACTAATCTTGAATCATCCTGTATATTAGATAATAAAATATATAATTAGATGTACCTATAGCTCTTAATCCTTTCTCAATGTCACCACTAAATTCATTTTTAAGAACATCTTCAAAATCACGTCCTGCTATACGATGATATTCTAAAAATACTTGTTGTAACTGAGCATGACTGCGGCTGCTTAATATCATGTTAAATGTTGATTCATCAGTGCCAAGTTGAAGTTCACCTACAGTTAATATTCAACATATATTTATTAAAATTAAATTATTAACCCATCAACGCCAAGAATTATTTTTTTTCAAACTTTCAATTTTTTTTACTAAAAACAGATTAATATACAACACAAAAATAAAAAAAAATTATTTTTTAATTTTTTGAAAATACGATTTCTGAGATATTGAGTGTCACCATATGGGTACACTCGGCTTTTACCTATTAAATTATTCGCGCGATAAAAATAGCAATACGAATGTCACCATATGGGGACGCCAGGCGTTGATGGGTTAAGATAAAATGAAATATTACAAACCAGCTTTCATTAAGTTTTGAGCATCAGTTTGTGCTGATGCAACGTCTACAGAAAATGTTTCAGCACGGCGTCCTTGACATAACGACACTAAAAGTCTACGGAAATTTCCAGAAGTTTCACTTTGAAGATCTTTCTCTAAATTTTTTCCAAAAACTAAAAAATAAAAGTAAAATATTTTGAAAATAATTTTATAATAAAAATTTAACATTATAATTTTAAGAATCTATATTTAGATTACAAAAAAACATACATTGCATTTTATGAAAACAAGTTTATAAAGTGTACAACTGATTTATATAGTTTCTTACGTTTTTGGTATGCAGATTTAATGTTAACTATTTCAGAATTAGAAGCAGTGCAAATTATTTCAATTACTGTTTCTTCATTAGTTCCAATACCTTCCATAGCATAACGCAATTCCTTTGCTAAATAATCATAGGTTGGTGTCATTAATGCAACTACCAAATCTTCAAATTTTCCACTTAGTTCACTTTTCAAATCAGAAATCAAATCCTAAGAAAAATTTTTTTTTAACTTGTTGATTTACCCAAAACTAATTCTTAAAAAATTATTTGAAGCCGTTGCTCTAATATAATTTAGTAGGAAAATCAAATTAATATTATTTTAGAAGAGTAATAGAAACCAACTAAATAAGAAAAAAAGTTAAACATTGAAGAATTAAATATACTGTAAAAACTATTATAAAATTGATTTCAATTAAAACTAGTAAATGAAAACTTTTAAATTTTCAATTTTGACATGTAGCTGAAAAGCTTTTAGTTTTACTCTCCTTTTTTTTTTGTCACTGGACACTATTACACAACTCTAACTTGACTGATTTTGCTTAATGATACATCAAAATATCACAAAATCTATCTGGTTGATATTTTTAGTTTTTACATTATACTTATAACTTTATAACTTTTTTAAAAATCAACAAACCATTGCAAAATTTTTATTGGCAGTAATTAAATAATTTTTTTTAATCTGTATTCAAGATAAATTTATGTTTATAGCTAGTTATAAGACTCACAATACTACTTTTCCTTTGTTAATTTCATTACTAATTTAAAATAAATGTAAATCTACATTTTAATTTCTTTTGGTATTTAGGATAAATGTAATTCAAAAAAATATTTTAACTGTTAATACTTACTTTACCATACATGGTCTTAAACTGGAGTGCAATTTCTTGTCTTTGTGCATTAACTCTATGTGCCAAAACACTAATAATTGCCTTTTCATCAGTTCCAAATCCTTTCATTGCTTTACGTAATATTTCAGCATCTTGTTGTGGATTAAATGGATTGGCTGGACGTAATGTTGGATTCGACTAAAAAAAAAATTCTTAAATTAAAAATATATTTTTCTTCTTTTTCCTTGCCTTAATCCCAATTATATGAGGTTGGCCACCTTTATACTAAACTTTCACTTGACAAAATCTCCCACATCAGCTGTCTTTATATTGCATTCAATTACATTCCTCCATTACTTTTTTGGTCTTCCTCTACCTCTTCTTTCTTCAACAATCATTTCAATAACTTCTTAGAGCTTCCAATTCCTCTCTCTTCTTGACTCGACCAAACCATCTAAGCATATTTTGTCTCATCTTATCCACAATTGACGCTACACCTATACTTCTTATATGCTCGTTCCATTTCCTATCTTCTCTAGTCACTCTACTCATCCATCTAAGTATTCTTATCTCTGCTACACTCATTCTCTGCACTACATTCTTGTCAACCACCCAACATTCTGAACCATACATCATAACTGATAAAATAATTATACCATAGCTAAATGTTTTTAGATTGATGAAGAATAAATTTTTAATTAAATACTTTTTAACAAAAACTAACAACTGCTGCACATACAAATTGGTTTAAAACTAGTAAAATAGGTCATTAAACTATAATGTAGTACTTTAAAAAAGTAATGATATAGATAACATTACATGCAATTGAAATAAAGTAATTAGTTTAATTATTTTTTTTTTTATGTAAATTACAGAATTATGCTTTTACAACTTTATCTTATGAAGTTACTACAATAGTTAATTTAGTTAATGAAAGATATGATTTTTTTTATGAATTTGTTAAAATGAAATTATTTAATTAAATAGAATGTATATTAGATGAAAAGTAAAATTTAACTACTTACTTAAATACTACTAAGTACTTTTTGAATAAATTACACAAAATTAAGGTTAAATGAATACTGCCTAAGTTATGAAATTTATACTTATAATAATTATTATTACTAAAATATTTTGCTTATATAATTCAAAATAAAAAATTATCGAAGTGATTTATATGTCCTTCTATCTATTATAATGCGAATCTATCTAAAAATTGTTTTATAATTATTTTATTCAAAGTAATAATTTATTCAAGGCAAGGTGAATTTATACTGATACTGTATGAGCAATAATTAAACATATGTTGAGTGTTGAGTGTTGATAGTTTATAGATTATAGATTATTTTTGTTTATAGATTATTCTTAACGTGCATAATAAACTCTTTTAATAAAAAAATGTTTTCTTTAAGTTGTTATCAATGAACAGATTTTAAAACTGAATACTTTTAAATAAAGTCTATGTAATTATTAAAGAAGATGGATCACTAAGAATTAAAATAATGACTATAAATAAAACATTTCTCGATAAATTTAATGATAACAAAAATGCACAATTATTACAACAGAACTGTAAAACAAAACAAAAGAAATCTCACCTTTTTTGGAACAGGTGAACTCCCTACTGGTTGATAGTGAGCTGGAGAAGTAATAGGTGGATATTGTGCTTGGGGTGGGGCTTGATGACCATTTCCATAACCACTAGCAGTCATATTTGGATAAGCAGATGGTACTTGTTGGACAGGACCTGGTGGATATCCACCTTGTGTTGGATATGCCGCTTGGGATGGATAACCTGAGGTAGGTGCTTGATTAGGGGTTGAAGAAGGATATTGAGATGGCACACCACTTGGATATCCAGAAGAGTAAGAATAATTTGGAGCATACTGACCAGGAGCAGGAGGATATTGGCTACCTGGTTGTGGAGGATATTGGCTACCTGGCTGTGGGGGATATTGGCTACCTGGCTGTGGAGGATATTGGCTACCTGGCTGTGGGGGATATTGGCTACCTGGCTGAGGGGGATATTGACCGGGTTGTGCAAAGCCAGGCTGAGATGGGGGATAAGGACTTGGCATGGGTGGATAACCAGGTTGTCCAGCAGGGTATGGCTGTTGCGCTCCAGGTTGGCCAGGGTATCCCTGATTATCAAAACAAAAAATATTTAAAATCAATGAAATACATGTATACATAAGAAATGCCTTTATAATAGTAAATAATAACATTAAAATTTAGAACACTAAAGATTTTGTCTTAACTTAGTAAAATATAAATTAACTATTAAATAGTTAATAATTAATAAAAAAAAAATATAGTTTGTAACACAGATTGTAAGTGAAATTGGTATCATGTTCTTAAAAGTTGAAAAAAAGTAGAATAGCTGAATTTTGGTGCATTTGATGAATGAAGTATTAGAATTTATATAATAAAACAGTAAAATATATAGAACTAAGTAATCTTCAAAAAAATTTAAAGGAGATTTTATGCAACAATGAGATAAAATATTGGTTGCATGCCTGTAGACCATTTCTTGTTTATAATAATATTCTATCTATCCTGTTTATTAGAATAATAAGTATTTTATTTTAGTATCTAAGTATGTACCACACAAAAATATCATAAATATTATCAAACAATTAAATTATTAATATAAGAGAACAAATAGTACTATATGATGATGAACAATAATAAAAAATTTTCTAATAGTTAAAAATTGATTTTGAGTTCTATAATATTATAAACTAAATCAAATTGTTAGAAAGATTATATACTTTCTCAAAGTATTTCAACCTAAATATATGCCCGAGTAAAAGAATTTCCTTTGAATTAATATTTAGCCATATAAAACAAAAATTAAAAGTGAAAATAATATAAAAAAATACTGTTCATAGATTTTTATATACAAAGAGATTGTGTAACTATAACTTACACAATATTTTTAAAAGTATTAAATATGACATAATTTTTTCTTTTCATAGATTATAAATATTTTACATTCTATATTTATCAATAAAAAAAAATTTGATTCTATCCTCACTTTTCCCATTAAAATTGTGTCAAGTTTTAATTTTTAATTGGAAATATATGTTAAATAAATAAAAATAAAATGACCTCCACCATTCATTGTAGTAAAGTGTTAATAACTTCCAAAATAGTAGTTTAAAAGTTGCGAACAACCAATTAGTTTTAGATAGATGTTTTTTTATCTGGTTAAACATGTTTCCAAAAACAAAAAAACAAACTAAAAACACATTTTAAAATAATCCATATGTTATAGCTAACAATCACCAGTAAGTTAATTTTATTTTAAGTATGTTTTAATTTTTCTAATGATCATTTTTACTGAAATTCAGCTATTCCATTTTACTTCTTTAATTTCTTTAGAAATAGCATGTTATTTATGAATAGTTATTATTAATATTTTTTTAAATATCAAGTTGGGTTTCAGAAATATAATATTGAAATATTTTACTTTACATCATAGAAAATTCCATATTTATTAATCTCCACTATTTTTAAATTTACACTACTAAAGAATCACAAATAATATAACATAAAAAATGTTCTTTAAATTAAAAACTATTGACAATTAACATCTTAAATAAGTCATAAATTTTAAGATTTAAATAAGAAATAGATTATCAATCAATTCCACACCCAATCACAGCAATATTGATCTAATATTAGGCCGTAAGCAGCATTTTTTTACATAGTTAATATGATTATTAAGAGTGAGATTGTAATGAAAAATATTATCTAATTCAAGTAGATGTTTCATTCAAATTATAGTTTGTAATAATTTTAGCTTCAATAAGAAGCTGAAAAGGTATAAATTTGACTGCGATGTGTTTATTATATTATGAGTTGTAATCCTAGATATATTATTTATAGGGAATATAACTCACAACTAAATTTAAGAAGATAATATACAATATATTTAAACTAAATTAAATTTTAATAAAAAAACTGTTGATATAATATTTATTGTGATTTACTGGAATGTTCAGTATTTAAATTGGGTAACTAACCTTCCATTGAAATATTTATTATTTAATATCCGTTATCCCTATAGAGCATATTAACAGGCAGCAGTTTTATCAAATGTTTCATTTATTACTATTTTAAAGGTTACCAAAATATTGAATTATTTGTAGTTAATAAATTATCTTCAAAATTTTAAATTTTTAATAACACTTAGTTTTAAAGTTTAATTTCAAGTATGATGAGTAATTAAATGTATAACAAAATAGAGAATTACTTGATTGTTAGGAGGGTATCCCGGATAACTCATTATGCTGAAGGTTTATTAAGTACGTGAAAAAACAAAAAGGTTTAATGATGACAACAACAAAGAGGGTTAAGTGAAGTTTATGAGTAAAACGTTCAAAATAAATAATTGTATCAACTAATAATGCGACGTAAAATCACAACTGTGTTAAAATATTTTTATGAGTTTCTGGTGGTTGCGGAAAAAACAGGCGTGACAACAATACGTGTTACCAATTCTAAAATATATCAACTATTTTTTTTCCATAAGATACGTATACTGCGAATCAGTAAACATTTTAATATTTAAGTACACAATCTATAATATAACCATTTAGAACAGATATGTGGTAGCTACCAGTTACATTTGATTAAAATTTAATCATAAATAAGTATATTTAGTCCATGAAAAAGTCGTTAGTGTTAACCATGGTATAATTAGTGATAACTAAACAGATGATATTTTTGCTACCAGAAAATGATTAAAAACGAGAAGCCGAACCTGATTATTGGGCGGAGTCCTTTTCACGTTAATATTGTATCTTATTTCTGCATTTTTTTTTTATTAATTTCAAGTGTGTACATTTCTAATAGTTTGAATTAAAATATATATTGATCAAAATGAGGTTACGATCAGTTTTGGGATATGCATTTTTTGGATCATCTACCGTTCTAATATCGTTTGTTATATTATTCTATTTACTGACTGGAAGAGGAGAACAAATCAGTGTTGGATGGTTTTTAGCCAATACTTCTCCATATATGTGGGCTGTGCTTGGAATTTCTTTAGCAGTAGCATTGTCCGTTGTTGGAGCTGCACTTGGTATTCACACTACTGGCGTTAGTATTGTTGGTGGTGGTGTGAAAGCTCCTCGCATTAAAACCAAGAACTTGATATCAGTTATTTTTTGCGAAGCTGTCGCTATTTATGGACTTATCACAGCTATTGTTATGTCAGGACAGCTGGAATCTTTCTCACTTGAAAGTAGAGAAGAAATCTTAGCACAAAATTGGATGGCTGGTTATTTGATATTTGCTGCGGGTTTGAGTGTTGGTTTGGTCAATTTATTCTGTGGTATTGCTGTTGGAGTTGTTGGTTCTGGTGCTGCATTAGCAGATGCTGCAAATTCTTCACTTTTTGTAAAAATTTTAATTGTTGAAATTTTTGGTAGTGCTATTGGTCTTTTTGGTTTAATTGTTGGTATATATATTACATCTAAAGTAAAAATGGGTGATAAATAATTAGGCGTTACAATCCAATAATTTGTAATTAATATCAAATATTTATTTGAAAGATGTATTTTTGTCTTCAAGACTTAAAAAATGATTAGTTTTTTGTTGTTTTATTTTTTTAGTTAATATTTTTAATTTATTTATGTTCAAGTAAACTTAAAAATAGAATAGGTCCATCTAAAAAATTATTTTAAATGTATAATTTGATAAAATTAGTCCTATATCATTATTTATTACTTATTTGTATGAAAATTTACTATCATTTGTAAGTTAACACACATCATTCATTATACAAACTTCTTAATTAAATAATCAATATTTTGATTATTATGATTTGTAGATAATTTATGATTTTATTTGTAATTATAATTATAAGGGCTTAAAATGTTTTTAAACTCAAATTTTTGTCCTTGTTTACCAATTTACCTTTTTATTTTATTGTATCAAAACATTCCATGTTTTTCATTGATCAGAGCTATTACAATTGTGAATAAAGGTTTTAATGATTAGTTAATAAAGAAATACTGCTATTGTTTTTAATAGTCCTTTGTTTTTACCGTATGAAAACTATTCCAATTTAAACATAATATTAAAAATATATAATATTGTAAAAAACATTGAAGTTAATATATCAAATTAATTTGGAAGATGAAAACAATGTTACTTAATCATATATATTTTTTAGTATCCTTATTCTCAATGATATTTATTCACAACAAAAAAATTGAATGTTCCTTATTAATTATGTCCTATTTCATTTATGGATCTTGTTGTTTTATCAAAAATCTGTTTACCCGTAGGAAATGGATCTTTTTTACTCAAAACTACTTTTTTATGTGCATGTGATAAATAACCACGAAGTGAACCTCTGTAAATCAAATTCACTAATAAAGATTGAGCTTGATCAAAATCAGTTTCAGGATCATCATATGTTTTGAGAACTGCAGCAATTGTTTCAATTGGTATAATGTGATTATTTGCAATTAAAAAACTAAAATATAAATAAAATTTTAAATGATCAACCAATAAATAGTGTATAAAACTAACAATTTTTTTAAGAGATTCCTGTAAACGAGGTTAATTAATTTTTGTAAAATTAAGTAAACACCACATTGCATATAGTACACTTCATTTATATCAATACATTCTCGAAATTTCTTCACATTACCCATTTTTAAATAATCTGATAGTTCTCCAAAAATTTCTAAATCATATTTTTTTAAAAGACTTTTTGATGGTATAACTCCCTGAAAAATACACAAGAAAAATATATAATCTAAAAATAATTTAAATATCTAGGCTGAAATAAAATTAAAGAATTTAATAATCTCTTACTTGTAACATATTGAGAGGTATGAGTTTTTTTAAAATTAATCTCTTATTTTTAATTGAACATTTATAACAGCCTTGAAATGATTTTGTTAAATAATCTCTGGCTAAAATTTATAAAATGAATTAGCCAAATTAATCTTTTATTAAAAGAATAATACAAAATATAAATTGATAAATATTAAAAATAAAATCCCAAAACTATATTCTTCATAGTGAGTTGACAACAAAACTACTAGTTTTAATAATAACTAAAATGGTATAGTCAGGCTTTTGAGGAGGTATACATAAGAAAATCTTTCTCTATTCCCCCCTCTCCAAAAATTGTATTTTCATAGTATAATCATTTTTATTCTAAGGGAATTTATCTCTCCTCTAATAAGCTTCTTTTATTTATTATTTTATGAATACTTAATAATGAGGTAACTGTAAAAATGCATTTTAAATTACAGCCAAACACTACTAATAAATTTATCATTTTTGTGTTTACTTTAAAGAGGTTATTGTTTTTTTATTAAAAAAAAAAGGGGGGGTTTAACCAGTTTTTGGAAAAATTCAGTAAGCGATTTCAAGCTCTATCCTATATAAATAATGTGTATCTACATCTTTAAAATGAGCAGTTACATTTTTTAGCTTCGATGCGAAGCTGAGAAGGTATTGGTTTTACTAAGATGTGTTTTTTTTTTTTATTTTATTTTTTATTTTTTTGTGGCTGTTATCACTTTTTCTCAGCTCTCACCGAACCGATTTCTTTCAATGATACGTCAAAAGATCACAAATCATATCTAGTCGAAGACATTACCCTTAAAAATTGAAAAAATTTCACTCGTTTCCCGTAAATGGGGGAAACCTCCGAAAAAATTACAAATTTAAAAATGGCTAATTTTCGAAATTTTTTCAATTTTTTTTACTAAAAACTGCTACTAACTAACTAAAAAACTAACTTTTTTAAAAATAAATATATCAATATAGTTCTTTTTTTTATAGATGCATGATGTCATTACCTATCATTTGGTATATTTTTTTTATAAATCTGACTTTTTACCTGCCTACAGGGGGGGATTCAAAATGACAACTTTTTCACAAAAAATNATGTCTTTACCTATCATTTGGTATATTTTTTTTATAAATCTGACTTTTTACCTGCCTACAGGGGGGGATTCAAAATGACAACTTTTTCAACATAAAATTTTTTTTTCAACTTAAATTTTGAAAGTGTTCCGGAAAGTCTGACACTTTTATATATATCTTAAATTAAAGCTAATGTAATATACTTTATCATGGAAAAAAAAAATTTCGGACTTTATTTTATCTTCATGGTGAAAATAGACATTAAACTTAATAAAAAAAATACGATTTTTGTAAAAAAATTCTTTTTTATATTTTTAACTTTATAATGCTATAACTTCTCGAAAGATGTATGGATCAATATAATTCTTTTTTTTGTAGATGCATGATGTCTTTACCTATCATTTGGTATATTTTTTTTATAAATCTGACTTTTTACCTGCCTACAGGGGGGGATTCAAAATGACAACTTTTTCACAAAAAATTGACTTTTTCAACATAAAATTTTAAAATTTTCC